CTACCTTATTGCCCTATTACACTCACCCTCCCTCTAACCCTAACAAGTATTAATCCAAAGCAGTTAGACTAGTAAGCTCAACCCTCAGTGCTGACAACGGAATCCAGCACCGTACAACTCTTGATTGCTGCTACATTTTGTTGCATGTGTCAGGGCCAACAAAGAATGTCTAGAGAGTTATATTCAGTATTACTGCCAGTGGTGAAAATGCTTGAATTGTTCACTGTTCCCAAAATTGTCTTCAATGACACACTTTCTTTATTGCCTGATTCTGGTGGTACTTGCAAAGTTCTCTGTGAAGAACAAAAGTTTGGATGTAAAAAAAGGAAGTCGGTAGCCCTAATTAGTTACGGTCGAAGTTTTCAATTAGTCTATAAATCTACATTTTACAATTTCAATTTCAGCATGCATGCTACACATCACACAACTATGAAAGTGCCCAAGAGTTCCAAAACGCTATCAAATTTGCTCTCAAATACATGAACAATGAGAAGCTTGAGGAGCTTGTCTCAGGAACAAGGAAGAAAGACCCTCTACTCTCGTTGCAAGTGATGTCATTTGGAATCAAACGAAAGGCCAGGGGCCTTCACAGCTTTAACATTACAGCACTTTCTGTTGAAGAGTTCACTTACCGAATGTGACTTGTGATAGTCCCTCGCACTTGTAGCCCAGTCCTTCATAGAATGGCACCAAGAAATCGTGGCTCACAAGACAGATTTTGGTGATATTGACAAGATCGTCTCTGACGTATTGGATGAACTGCTGCATGAGAGCCTTGGCAACACCCTGAAAAGACAGGGAACATGGGGGGAGACAGAATGCACATGAGCATTCCAAGTAATGAACAAAGGTGCAAAAGATGAGGATGAAGAGACAGTATTGGCTATTTCCTGAAATCAATTTTACCCTGACGAGAGATTCCTTGAATTAATTTTGGATTGTTTGCTCTGCCGACGTATATCATAACATTGTATACTCAGTGTATGCCTCCGAAGCCTTGCGAAAAAACCCACAAGTGTACTCGGGTGGGACTTGAACCCATAACCTCCTGCTTACTTGGGCAGACGTCTTAATCACTCGACCACCGAGCTTGCCAGTGTCGGCTGGCTGGATCGAGTCGGATGTGGCAGTGGGTACCGCGAACAACTAAAAATTAATTCTTTAAAAATTAATTAAATTCATCCTTGGAAACAGATTCCTTGACCTTCTTTCCTCGCGGTCGACCTCTGATTTCTAAAGTTTGATTTCGGCCAGGATTATAACAGAAAGGATTGGGCTCCGATCTGGCTTTGTGAATCTCTCATTCTGCTTCTTACATACAAATTATGACTCCTCTCATCTCCCTGGCTGGCTGGCATGCAGTATGGGAAACCAAGGTAAACAAGTGACGAAGATGAAGTAAATATTGGACTCTAATCCTCCTCGATGAGCAAAATAAAAATGACGGTCCAAGTTTTTTCATCCATAACAGGTCCTCGCTGTCCTCCCATGGTAGTTCCATTTCAAAAGTGTCAGTGCTTTCAACCCCTCCCCCAAATGGCAACATATATCAGCATAGGGTGGGGGGGGGCCTTGGAAATTAACCCCGTGCCCCCTGCTCAATCAGCAATACAGGTGCACCTCGCATGCAAGTGTAGCGCCATAAATGGAGTCTGACCTACCTAACTTCAAATAACTCATTAAAATTGAATTGTTACTTGATGCAGGACAGGCACCCTATGAATTTCTGAGCGAAGTGTTGTTTTTACTTTCTTCCTGTGCTCTGGGTGAGTGCAGAGTGAATGCACACCGACCACTGTGCCCTCAGGATCGTGGGTGAACATGGATTCGCGTGTCAGCTTGCTCAGTGATGTCTTGGTTCCATGTGTAATCTGGGGAGAAAAAAAAAGCACAACAAACATAATTTTCTTTTGAGTGGCCATAGCCAGGAACAAAAGAGTCTTTGTAACACAGTTGCACGTGCAAGGTGGATCCTTACTTGTACAAGCTGGATCCTTGGTTTGTCTGGCAGTTTTGGAAACCCTAGGCCTGTGGTTGGTTTGTCATTTGTAATAACCCAGGCCGTAATAACACAAACAGTTCCAATCACTGCTCTCATCAGTTAGCTCAAAAGTTGTGGTGTTGCCTAATTCAATCTTTTTGGTTGGATAATGCATGTGATATTTCAAAAGGTAACATTCAATCCATATGCACAAAGATTTTATTAGTTATTATTATCTATTCATGTCAATTCCTTTTTTCATCACATACAAGCTGGGCATAGGAGAGGCAAAAGCAATAACAATCAGTGTGGCCAAAGACCTGCCACTCCTCATCAAGCTGTGTATAGAGTAAATAAATATAAAAAATATATCAACATATAGAAGTGTTTGAAACCAAAAGTTAGAACTTAAAATATTTAAATATAAAAGAAAAGGAATTACTGGAAATGAATAGAGATAATGTACACAACTGAATATGAAAATAAGTAAGTTACATGAATAAGCAGTTAATGATAAAGACACAATAAATAAGACATAATAAATACAAAATAATACACCTACACGTGCAAAAATAATACAAAAATAACAGGAGGTTTAGCCACACACAAAGTACCAAGTTTTGAACTGATGCCTCCAAGAATCAGGCAAACCTTCATACATGCACCTTAAGTCCCCACAAAATGTAATTTAAAACACAGTGCTGGACTTATACCCAACAACTTCGGCTGAGATACTGATCACAGGTGCAACACAATGAAACAAGTGATGAATAAACATGAGGACAAAGGCCCATTCAAGCACCAGTGTGGGAAAACAGGCTCTATTTCTTGTGAATTGGGGCACATGCTCATCAGCCCTTGACCCCAAACCGTACTGAGCACAGGGTGCAAACCAATGCACAACTCTGTGGGATCTTGTCCGTCCAAAGGCTTCCGTATGCCAGTATATACTACCAGAACTGCGGGGTCCGACGTCCACCCCGGACCCCACAATTCTGGGGCTAATGCCAATATAGGTGAGCCCCTCTGAGGGATATATGACAGTGAAGCTACATTCTTGCTCTGAATGTTTAATGGTGGTTCACTCTCTTTGATCCAAGTACTGCCAAATGAAGCATCCAAGAAGACACAAAATATCACTTCTGCAACATTTTACGTCACCCAGTCTTGACACTATGCAATCAAAACTATTTAATTTGAGGACAGAGGGAAATGTGTGTGAGACTTACGGCAATCAGGCGATCATTTTCGAAGTAGCCCCAGAAGAGTTCGGGGGCAACCCTTTGACGGAATTTGCATGTCTCTTCAGATGCCCCCTCTTCACTGGAAAAAGCTGGCGAGAATGGATTATTATTATTATTTATTTCTGGTAATGACACCAAGGATTCCTCAAAAGCACCCTAGGCACTGTAGCTTGCAAGCCTGAAAAAACCTGTAGAGAGGAGACAATGAGAAGCAGTTACACTTTTAGTAGTGGGAGGAAAACCCCAGAGGAATAGTCTGGGTAAAACCCATGAAATCAGGTAGGGACTGAAAACCCAATCCACATGTGGACCGGGCCAGGATTTGAACCTGGACCGCAGAGGTGAAAGGTGAGGAAAGAACCACTACACCAACCCGAATGTGGTGTTAACAAAGTAACAAATTACACAGACTGCAGAGGGCAGCCTTTATGATGATGCATTAAAACATCTATCCATGCAACACTTACAGATCCAGAAGGGTGATGTATACCCCCCAGCAAATAACATTTTATACCATATGTGTACAGATGAAGTGATTTGAATGGTGTACTTGCTCAGACTACCATTAATTTGGCTCAGCTGAGCGGCAATGTGAAGTTAGTCCTCGTTTGATGTTCAACATTCAATGTGGTACAAGTAACTGTTTGACATTTGTTGAATATGCAACCGTTTGACATTCGGCGATCACTCAGGATGCACATCTCTAGAAACGATGGAGTGCAAAAGGGACAAAAAAACAAACTGCCACCTACATTTCAGGGCTTGTTTGACCCCCCCCTCAAAAACCCATGCCCTAGGTTGCCAGGAGTCATTGCTGATTGAGAAGAACAATGACATTACATTCACAGTAATCTCCAGGCAAGGCATGGGGGCTGGTTTTTTATTTCAATTTGAGGAAAGTGACATGTCTTTTCCTTTCTCGTTGCAAGCGAAGAACTCCACCGACAAGACTTCAGTCAAAGCTGTTTTGACTGTGGAAAACTGCCTGGCCCTGGTTGAAATGGAGGCAGCGGGGTCGTTAAAGTGTACAGAAACATTTTAAAAAAATAAGTCTAGACCCAGGGCGTGGGCTTAATTTCAATTGAGTGAAACAGTTTGGATGAAAATAGCAAGTATATAAAACTAACCGTTTTTCTCTATAACTACATTTGCGGAAAAAAAAGATTGCCCACATTTCAGGGTTTGTTTGACCTAACAAACTCATGGTCATGGTAGCCTTTGTGGGAGAGAGTTGTGTGTGTATACATCATTGTGAAATGGCATGTACATGTACAATGTGAATAGGTACATATGTCATGCATGTGAATGGATGTGCATGGTGGCACTTTTTTTGTCCCTTTTGCACTCCATCATTTCTACTAGAAATTCTAGGGGTTTGAACCCTGAACGTCAAACGGTTACTTATTCAATTGGAATATCAAACAGTTACTTTTTCAACACTGGATGTCAACGAGGAACGAACTTCACATGGGTCTGCTTCCTTGGCAAACAGCAAAGTGGATCTCAGTGCCCATATGATGACCCGTAACGAGTCCATGCACAGCATAATTGGTTTGAAAGAGGGCTAAACTGGCAATCTATTTGATGAGTGACTTCTTCAATAAAACCTCTGTCCTTGTTCCTCAAGTATAAGACTCAGTTCCAATCCAATTCTACGCTACAGAACAAAATAACGATTGACCTCTACTGTCACTAAGACATGCAGTGTAAGCCCAATACAACACAAAATATACTACATGTACAAATGTACACGTATTCCTTCTTACAGAGGCTTTCAATCAGCCAGGCATCGTGGACTTCCTTCTCAGTCACCGGTCGAATGCACACATTTGACAAGGCCATATCTAGAACTGGGCCCCCGGAATCACTTTCACTTTCCAACAGCTTTGCGTGAGGGTCAACTGTAGAAAAAATAAATCACCGCCAACGTTTAGGTGCCTTTTTCTTGCAACTCAACTGGAAGCCAGATGACCTCACATGTGGCATTTACTAGGAAGGTCACCTAACAGACCTCTGTTGGCCAAATTTAATTTGCCGACTCCTATCTTTGCTGCTTTTTTGCACTTTGACCTTGACCTGCTGGCTGTTTGCATAGTGAAGTATATATGGGCCAAGTTCCTGCAAAGTCATGGCATTAGTCATGTATTTTACCAGCCAAACCCAAAGGGCAAGAGGGGAGATGCTGGATTAAGTGGGGATTGGGGATTGTATATTTTGGGACCCCAAGGTTTCGTCATTTTATTCTTGTAAAACTGGACAGTCCCCAATAAACCAAAGGCTTGTATGCTGTCTTTACTATGCTGACCCAATGGTTTGGAAATTTCGAACTGAAAATTGTGAGAAAATGTGATTTTCTTACTGAAAAACCAGCCATGCAAATTTGAATCTACCATATGTGCTAAAACTATCCCCTCTTATTTCCCTCAAACTAACCCAGCCCCACAGTGGGGCTACTGAAACCCCTGCCCTCTTTTCACATCAACCCTACACTCAGCATGATGTCATAGTCATCTACCAAGGTGAATCCACCATCTACCAAGGTTAAAATGTAGGCCTCCCTTCTGTTATGGCACAAAGATATGAAGCTCTTAAAAAAAGCTTTTTAATAGCTCCATGATCAGGGTCCCCAAATATACAATCCCCATTAAGTGGTATATCACTAGACATTGTCAATGCCTCGGAAGGAGTTCCATACCTACATGTATAACCCAGAACCCAAGTGGCCGGGACAAGGCTGACAACTAACCTTACACAGTTCTGGAGGTAGCTTGACACCTGTGCACAAACCCTATTGAGACCATGACTATGACACTGGTCTGAAAAATTGTCAGTGTTTTGTAAAGTGAATACCTCAATATTTTCCCTGCTAAACTCTGTGGGACACGTTATTGCCTTCAGATGGATAATGGGTACGAATTGCAAACTGGTGTCCCAAGCGAAATGATCACACGACAAAATTTTCTGGCAAATCCCTCAGTCCTTCAGAAAAAAAGGTCGTCCACACACCAACTCGCCTTACCAGCCATGAGCTCAAGCGCGCGCGCGGTGTTAATGTTCAGGGTGCAGTCCACTAATTCAAGCAATAATTTCCGCCAAGCGCCCCCGCAGTATCTTTTGAAAAAGGGTATTATTTGGCCCCCAAAACAGTGAGATTGTGTAAATCTTTGCCAGGATCAAGTCCCTGGTTCTTTGGGCTTCCATCTGAGGGCAGAGGGGATAAAAAATACGGTTGAAAAATGTTCCCAAAGGAAAAATAAAGTAGGGGGTTGCCATTTGAAAAATGGCCGCGGACTGAGATTGGCACTTCGACTTTTGGGGGTTAGTTTTGTTTTAGGTGAATTATTAAAGATGTCATTGGTTAACCCCCGAAAATTGAAAAGAAACTGAAAGAATAATGACTGAATAATTATTACATTTTTGTGTGAGACACCCCAGGGATTTTGGCTTGCATGTTATTGAGCTCTGAAGAATGGTGATTTTACACTGTTTTCAATGGGGTTTGAATTAGTGGACTGTACCCCAAGGCCTTCAGCGCGTGAGTCGGATCGGTTACGGCGCCCTCTAGAGCCTGAAGTATGGTGCCGCATCTATCTTTGCTGAATAATAAGTAAACATAGGATGCTAGACCGTCAGAACACCATGAAGACTATAAATACCATATCTTGCTCGTTGGTTGAACAGAACTGGAAGAGCACGTGTTTACTGCCAGCATGACGTTTGAATAAGAGCTGGGGCCTAATTCTTTAGAATTTTGTCATTGAGTGTTGTGTAAGAAGTTTACATTATGCAGGTGTCTCAAGCGAATAATGTGAAGGTTTACAACCTCAGTCTTGGTAAATCACTTCCAGAGGTGAGGCGAATGTTATGATCATGATGATGATTGAAATTGTTGTTCATCACTTAACATTAGTATGCTCAAAACGATAGGCCTGTCCTATTCGGCAGTTGAGTAGGCCTACATTCTCGATATCTCGCGGTCGGAGGTTGTTCCAAGGTTGCTCTTAACTGAATATGAAAAGAGTACAATTAAATAAAGGGATTTACATGTTTTTATCACGTTTATGTCATGATGGTTGGGTTACGAAATATTGTTTGTGTATAATTGACATCTCTGCATTCCAGTGGCTTCGATCTCTCCCTTCATCTCCTCAGCCCGTTTCTTCTTAGAGTGTGTCATTTTGTTCATTTACTGTGTTCCTTCTCTTGATTTCTAGTCAAAACAAATTCAAGATTGTTTACCCATAATGTGCCATGTCCTTTTTGGCCTTTTCTTGAGGGCTGGGCCCCAACTGTGTCTGTCATGTCTGTCTTGAGGACGGACACGACAGATACAGTTAGGGAATTTAACACAGCTGGATGTAACATAATTACACTGTTCCATGTCAAGCCCCTTACAATTATATAATGTGATCGTAATACTCCTAGAAGTAGAACTACTGTATGGGGCTAGTTCCTAGTTGGTCCACCATGTGCACCTCTCGGAGAGGTAAAAAAAGAAGCTCCATAGTTCTAGGGGTACAGGTCTCCCCCTAGATCCCAGGTCCCCACCCAGCAGTTCAGTTTCTAACATACTTGCATTTACTCAGTGTTAACGACCGTGTTAAATGCTCTGAACCGTTACCAGCTTGTGAAGACAAAAGACAGTGAAGGGACAGTTGGAATTTAGTTCGGCAGTCCATGTTTCCCTTTTCTTGTGATTGTTTATTTTTTTTTTAGAACATATTTGAATTTTGTTCCCAGTGATTGTCATGAGATAGATGTATTATCCAAGTTGAAACAAATGTAGGCTGAAAGGCTACATTTACCAGAGTGTTTCTGCCGAAACCAGTACGCACGCTCCTAAATTTACTGCTGATATTATGCGATTCTCTCTTTAATCAGTGGTTGTCAGACCGGAAGAAGAGGGCGTTGCAGAAATCTGACCGAGGTAGGCATCACATCGTCCCTGTTCGGTGGTTGACTGCCTTATTGTACAAAAGGCCCCATTTCCTTTCAGAGTGACTTTACAAGTAGGGTACTTAGTGCTTCAAGAATTTTGAAGCATGATCATTGTGTAAATGAGACTGTCAAAACTTGCAGTTAACCATGCAGTGAGAAAAAAAATGTAAAAAAGTGATGGTGCCAGTCCAACTCCTTAGTGCAATTATAATGAAAAAGTTAAAAGGAACATCTGGCAGCAGGTTTTTTTCAAACTCTGTTGGCAATTTTACCACTGACTACTAAATGATATATCTTTTCCTAAAATCAGACACTATCTGACAGTCTGTTCCCAAGCTTTTAAAAAAAAAAGCACTAAAATAAGCTTATACAGAAGACTGCTTTCAGCTTAATTTGGCCGATGATTTAAGATTTGACATAAAGGCCACAATATTGACTATTGAAATGCTTCCTGCCTCATCTTTGTATAATTATGGATATCTTGGAGAATTTTGTCAGCTCAATGGTGAGTAAAGTTTGCGATGACGTATTTTTTCATATTTTTCTGAACTTGATGTTAAAGTCATGTAGCTTTTTGCATTTCACTACCTGATGTATTTTTTAAGACCAAGGTTTGCTGATCACTGGAGTACCCAGAGTACCTGAGTGATTTGAAGTGATTCTCTAACTCGATTCTTTCCTCATCCAACGCATCAGATCTACAGCACAGGATACAGTTGATTCAGGATTTTGAGATGCCTTCAGTCAGCAGTGGTGTACAAATTACAGCAGATAACCAGTTTATATTAGCAACAGGTAGGCAGGTGGACATGCTCAACTATTGTTAGCTAACCCTAACCCTACATAATACTGCAAATTACTAGTTGTGGTAAAATGTAGTATTCAGCCCTGTCGCTTGTAAGAGGACATGACCTTATTGTTCTGTGAAGCCATAAGATACAATAGATGAGACAACGTACCATACAGTGCTGTGGCACTGTGAATGCATGGCTTTATTACATGGCTAGTCACCTAGCCAGAAGCAGTCATTTGTAGCGCTAGGTCCTTCAGGCTCAGGCTACTACTTAGTACTTTGTAGTACTGAGTAGTGTAAGCCAAACAATATGCTTGGCGGTTAGGGTTAAACAATGGATGAAAAAAAATTGTTTGAATGATTTCCAGATATGTCCACGTATTGATAATCAGAAAATCCGTTCCCACCTGGATCTTCTGTGAGCTGATTTGCACCCAGAGAGATTCATAACATGGACCCGTAAATATTGAACAGGTGTCCACTTTTGCCACATAAAGTCTTAAACTGTGAAAGAATTCACCTTTGTCTTTGTTTAACTGGCGTATTTGAATATGAGGTTTCACACTGAGTGCGAGATTTTGTGTGGATTGATTTTGGGCAGGTACCTACAAGCCGCGGGTGCGATGTTTTGAAGTCACGCAGCTGTCAATGAAGTTTGAGCGATGCTTTGACTCGGAAGGTAATCGGTATTTGGTCAAGCTTGGGTCCTGTGGACCTCAAAGAGGCTACAGCCGCTCCCATGGACTGCTGTGTTATTTCAAGCTGCCGCCAAGTAAATTGAAACACGCCTAGTTCCTGGCTTTCAGCTTCTTCTAGCTGCCCTGGCTGAAATAACCTTTCATTCAGACTGTCTGTGATCTTGACATTACCAGACAGAAAGAGCAATCAACCAACTGTCCGTCAGTGAGATGCTAAAAGCCGCACCCTAAAAGAAATTGTGTCGCAGTTTACAAGGTGCAACTCCTGAAACATCAGTTGGAAACCTCTCCCCAGTTCTTTGAAGATGTTGTCCTGACTTCTCATTTTGTGGTTTCTGTTTCAGTCGTTAGGTTTCACATCTTGTCTGAAGACTACTCTAAGGTAAAAAAAAGTGAACAGATTTTCTTTTTTTGTAGAAAAAAAAGAATTGTTTCACAAATTGTAAGTCTTGCCTTTGATGTTTTGGCAAGACTGTCAATCTTGAGACCAAAATGGAAGATCTCTTGTTCAGTTATTATTATTTTTTTCCGTAGATGGTATTCTTGCATTGTGATCGCTATGTGGAGTTTCATGCACGATACGGTCGATACCACCGATTACGGATTCCCAAGTTTGGTCGGGACTTGGCATACCATGAGCCGTCTTGTGACCTTTTCCTTGTGGGAGCTAGGTATGTACATGTACGCATCGGTCTTGCTTAACCCTCCCGCCGGAGCAGTCGCTGACAGTCCGAACGTCTGTCCACTTCCCATGCTACATGTAAATCACAGGCTAGTCACTGACAGTCAGATCTTCATTCTGGTTGGTACTGTAACCAGTTGAATTCCACCAACAGACCAAAGCAGGCGACTGGTAGACAAAGCTGGCTAATCAGTCAACTGTATCAAGTCATAGCCGGCCAGTTCTGGTTTGTTGGTTTAAGTCTGTCAATGACAGTCACTTCACTGGAGAAAAAAACCCAACTTTGTCCTGAAATGGATGTTTGCATAAGGGAGGTGAGATAACTAGCATTTAAAGATTCCCTGAATGTGTCTCCCTGTTCCATTTCTGTGTGTAAATTCATGCTTTGCCCGGTATTTTTCATCTCTTCAAGTCCAGAGGTCTACAGACTGAATTTGGAGCAGGGGCGCTTCCTGAGTCCATTTTTATCTGAAGCAAGGTGAGCCCTGGCCATTTCTGAAATCTTTGTTTTAGAACAACTTAGACTTCTACCTGATTTAAGGTGAATTTTTTGCGGGCTGTTTCTCAAACCTCCTTGTCATCGGCATCTTTTGATTTTTGGTTGTCTCCTCAATTTGTCAAGTTTTGTTATCATCTCTACCTTCAGGTTCAGTTGATAGGTAAACATAAATTCATGAATGCAAAAGTAAACATTGTGAAAATTGAGAGTCTCTTAATTTTTTTAACATACACGGCCTTTATTATTAGGTTAGAAGTGAAGTCATAGAGGAAGGCAAGGTTTGAGAAATGCTCCCATTCTCTGACTTGATGATGAAGTGGGTCATTGCATCAATTCATAGCATGTATCACAGTCGAAGAGCTTTTCAATCTTACCACGCTCTGTGTGACGTTTTCCCCTCGGCCAAAGTGCAATCAACGCCTGCAGCATCAACCCTGAGCACCACCTGCTGGCGCTGGGAACGCTGGAGGGAAGGGTGGAATGCTGGGACCCGCGCAGCCGGAAACAGGCGGCCATCTTGGATTGTGCCCTGAGCAGCGTCACCACGGAAACACAGTCAGTCCACAAGTGCATCGGATTCACTTCCTTGTGGGGGTGGAGGGGTGAATTGTACTAAAACTTCCAGTTGCTGTCGTTTAGACATTTGGAGTGGGACAGGCAAACCAGCCAGTGCGGCTGTTCTAGAATAACTGGCAGCTGGGACTTATGCTTAGGGAGCATTTCCGAGGTCACAGAATCTTACAGGTGTCAATTGTAAGAAAGATTCGGATAAAGACCATGTTTGATGTACATACCTCACTGACTACGTGATAATGCAGACATCTCAACAAGCTTGCGAATCTCATACAGGGGGTACAGTAGCATTACGGAAAGTCACCGATGTTATTTTATGTCAGTGAATGACAGAACCTGAAATTAAATCTTTAGGGTACCATTTGCTGGTACCATTTCCTGACTATTTTGTATCTTGTAGGAGTTTTTTTTGTTAATGTTTCAGGGTCAAAGGAATGCCCTCTGTCTCGGCACTGAAATTCAAAGATGGCTTACAGATGGCAGTCGGAACATCTACTGGACAGGTAGGCACCACCACAAATGAGGCCCTTGAAGAAATCTTTGCTTATCGTTATCCGCCTCGAGTTGAAGTGTTGAGAGCCGAGCTAGTGGACTCATGCAGGCACCGGCCACACACGCAGAGACAGTACATTCCAGCATAAACTGGTCCTGCATTCTCAGTGCATCCAAAGCCTAGTGGGCATACACCTGTTGCGCGTATGCGGTGATTTCCCACCGAAGGACCATTATTTCTGGGTGAAAACATGCGCTCTCTTGTTCTCACTCGGAGGGGATTGGTAACGAGTATCCAGTAGCGTTTATTTTGTAATAACCGTGTTGTGGAAAATACAAGTTGTATTAACCGCTTCGCGCCGGGAATTCTTTTGACCGTGACTGCTGGGCTGTGGTATGCCCTGAATGGAGGGCTTTGTCCAGCAGCAGGCCCCTTTGAACCAGCAGCCACATGGTGAATAGACTGTATGTGTGGTATGCACTAATCCTCACACAAAGCCGCGGCTGTCAACGGTTCCCGGTGCGAAGGGGTAAAGAGATTTTTACTGAAGTTTCTACAGCGGTTTGTTCTGAAGTAAATGTAAATAAAGTAAAACTACACGTAACTACCAGGTGTGGTGGCTTGTCCAAATGAGGACTCCCTTCGTCTAATTTTCCTGTCAGGTTCTCTTGTATGATATCCGCTCAGACAAACCCTTACTGGTGAAAGACCATCACTACAGCCTGCCCATCAAAGCGGTCGAGTTCCACCCCCAATCTGAAATGGTTGTGTCCACGGATAGCAGAGCAGTCAGAATATGGGACGTGCACACTGTGAGTTGTAGGGGTGTATTTCTGTCATTCTCAGAGTGGGTCTTGTTAAACGTCAGAAAAGAGGCCGTCAGTATGCGGTATACACAAAAGAATGTTTAAATCCGGATGTGACAATTTATGTGTCTGAAAGATCTCCCCAGCTTTCCCATATTTCATGGTTTGTAACATGCTGTGACTCATTTCACTTGCAGGACTAAATTCTAATCAAACATGATAGATTTGAGTTCGCTTTCTTACCCTTTTTGGTAGTGATCCCATTAAAGTGGCAATGGCACAGTGGCTTGCAGTCCAGAAGGAACCTGTAGAGATAAAACAGTAAAGAAATGTTCAGTTTCGAAAAACAGAGGAAAATTCCACTCATAAATATTCTTTAAAAAAATCCATAGAACAAGTTAGGGACCCAAAACCCCAGTATGCATGTGGACCTGGTTGGGATTTGAACCCAGGTCATGGTGGTTGAAGGTAAGGGAAGTACCCGGAAAGTTGCCAGGAATCGCTGCACAGAAACGTGATTCCAACAACTCGGAATACAAGTGATTCAAATATCCCAATTTTTGTTGTGTTTCTGGTTGGGTTATCTTTTTGCTTTGAAGGGGAAAGCTTTCACTGCCATCGAACCTGAGCACAGCATCAATGGCATGTGTCTTGTACCATCATCGGGACTCATTCTAACAGCCAACGAAGCACCCAAGCTTGGCGTGTATTTTATCCCAGTAAGTTCTGATTTTAGTCATTTCTCTCTGATTGAGGTGTCTTGTGAGTGTCACAATGCTAGTATCCCACTTGACGGCGCTTGGACTAGGGGACTTACGGAAAGAGAAGATTGGTTTCACTGATGTCATACAACTTCCACGATCTAAAGTTTTGATCCGCCATTTTTTGATGCCAGCCGAGTCTACAGTGGGCTCAGTTGTGTGTGGCTATGGCTGTGTCCTGTGGCAGGCTGATTGTAAAACCGAAGCCCAAGACACAAAATACTGGCCTCAGACCCAGCCTGACGCCAAAGGCAGTGGAAAGCAAAGGACTGTGGGAGACACACTGTTGAATATGACGGATCTGTCAGTTGGTAGATGTGAACGTGTAAATGACATTCTGTAGCTTGGCGAATACTGACTTCTTTCCCTCGTACACGCCAACCAGCCTCCCTCAGTTATCCTGGAGAACGCGGACCAGGTGGTATCTGCCCTAACGGGAGTAATTATTCCTAGAGTGGGGGCTCCTTTGCTTGGGAACTGGACTTCATACATTACAGTTGTGTCGCTACCAACAGAATGAGCACTCCCCACCAACATGGTTCTTTTTAACTGATGAGGCGGTGCTTCTGATTAAGACAGGTAGCATTGTCGTCATTGCCATTAACTAATGCACGCATGTGTCATTTGAAGAGCTTAGGCCCGGCTCCAAAGTGGTGTGCCTTCCTGGATAATCTGACCGAGGAATTGGAGGACAGTTCCCACAGCACAATCTATGACGATTACAAGTTTGTCACCAAAGCTGAGCTAGAAAACCTCGGTAAGGAAATAAAATGAACAGCCAAGCATAAAATTTGTTTTGGTAGAGTGAGAAATCCGGAAAAAAATTTTTTTAAAAACTGCCAAACATCCCAAATGTCCGACAAATCACGGTAAACTAAATCATGATCTCTCTACGTGATTTTTGGAGCCAAAGCTGATACATCTCGTGATTTTTGTAAAATCAGGGCTGGCCCACCTTGTCGGTACCAGTCTACTGCGGGCCTACATGCACGGGTACTTCATGGACATCAGGCTGTACCACAAGGCTAAAGCCATCGCTGACCCCTTTGCCTACGAAGAGTATGTCAAGAGCAAGATCAAGCAGAAGATAGAAGAGGACAGAGCCAGCCGTGTAAAACTGAGAGTAAGTCGGGGGGTTCGTGTCGTTTGCTCCTCGGTCATCTTTTGTTCTGCCCTTTCCAGAGGTGTATGAATTCCGTGGAGAAATTGAACATGGTTGGCAAGTGACTGACAGACGGGGCCATATTAGATCAGCGAACGGGTGTGAACGACCTGATGATTTTTGCCCAGTGGCTTATATCATGGGTATCAGGCACAAAAAGATCGGCCAGTGGTCCCTAATTAAACTTGGCCCGGGAGGCAGTGGAAGACGTGCCGGGGAAGGCTCTGGTTCATGTTGGCAAGTGGCGTGGAGACCATGCACCAAAATTTTCATTTGAATGTGTACAAGCCTGCAGCGTTTGTGTGTCAGACATCTGGTGTGTTCTAATGCATGTTGTCGGTACTGTGATGTAACCAAGCCTACTGCAATGAGGTACGTGTACTCATCATGGTCATGGATTATAGTCATCGATTTTATGTTGATTTTTTTATGATAACAACAGAAGCTACCCAAGGTGAACGCAGCGCTTGCTTCCAAGTTGCAAGAACAACAGGAGCTGGAGCAGACATCCAAGGGCAAGAGAGACAAGAAGGTGAAGGAAGGGGGGGGTTGTTTTGATGATCGGGCCCAGTGGCCTGAACAAGTTGGAAGTCCCAGGCAGGGCTGGAGATGGTTTCTTAGAAAGGGGACCTGTGGCATATCTAGGACAGGTGCTTTGGCATTCTTGAAAAAAACCTGCCAACATAATTAAAACTTGTACATGCCCATGGAAAGAGTCAACTGCCAAAATGCTGGCCATTGGCCAGTGATTGAAACAGTTTTCAGTCATGGGTGGTCAAATGGTCAAGTCCAAAGTGTTGTGATGCAGTTTGCTTTCCACGCTGTCAGCCTGCCCATTAAAAGGCCCTTGGAATACCTCTCTTACCTTCAGGCTGAAGCGGACAGCATTCTCCATGACGACCGCTTCGCGGCGCTGTTCAAGAACCCCGAGTTCCAGGTGGACGAATCGAGCGAGGACTACCGGCTCCTCCATCCGGTCATCACAAAGCAGCAGCGGCAGCAGCAGAAGGCAGCCCAGAAGAGAACCGTGCTGCAGCAGTTTGACGAACTGGAGGTACCCTGAAGAGTGCTGGTCATGTTGTGGTCCTCTTACTAATCTGTACTTGTGAAAAACAAGACATAACTAATGTGACCGATGTACGCTTTCAGTCTTGTGAGTGGATCGGAGTGGCTGAAACAACCTTCACTTGTAATGCACAGCTGTTGTAAGGGGAGCATGCAACATAGAAACAGGCAATAACTTGAGGTGTTTCTCAGGGTTTTATACAAGGTGGAGGAAATTTCTATGAGTACCTAAGGGTAAAAGCTTGAGGCACATGTGTTTAATTTTACATTCTTCCCTGAAAAGCTAAGGTTTCGGTTCATTTTGCTGCCTTTTTTGTATAAGCAAAATCTGCTTCCCGTAAAGTGCATCATGGATAGTTGCATACATTCCTCTGTGAGCCCAGTGTAGTTTTTCTGGAGAGTGGTTCACAACCTGACGATATACACAAATTATCACGCACACAAAAATGTACAGGAAGAGGAGGGAAGGCCGAGCGATGAGGACAGCAGTTCTGACGACGACGACCGATCTTGGCAGCAGGAGCTCCGTAAGCAGCACCAGCAGCTGAGGGAAGAGCGGCGGGCCGAGGCCCGGTCCCAGGCAGCTGCCGGGGCCACACCCAAGTTCTATGAGTTGAAGAAAGGGGAGGAGTTTAGCTCGACCATCGGAAGGAAGCGGCTCAGCAAGAGGCAATTGAGGTAAGGACAACTGCTTAGGGACATTTCCCTGTTCCCAGTGGTCAGTCTGTTGTCTTCAGTGGTGAGTGGGAGAATGTTCCATTGTAGGAACCAAAGTCGACACAAACCCTGTCCCTTGTGGCACAGCAAAACATAAATGCACGTGCTTGCACACAGCAGAAGCGATGTACAGTTAACACCGACAAGTGGAATGTGCGCAAACCCAAGGTGTGTTATGACCCCCCCCAAATGCTCTGACTTATTTATTTATTTTTTTCACAGAACTAGCCTGGCCGACAGACTTGCCCAGGAGGACACACAGGGAGCAGTCAAGCACATCGGTTCCTCCGTCGGCAACCAGCAGCTAACCTTCACCGTACAAAAGGTGCGTATTGCATAAACCCTCTTGCAGAAACTGGCTTCTTGAAGCTTGTGACGAGGGACACTCCTTCGTATGAAAGTTAAGGGGAGACCATTGGAAGTATTGCGCTTTACCACCACCGTGTACATGTACGGCATTATCATTTAAGACCCACTGTACAACCATACAGAGTGTATTCCTGTCCTCACCATTAAAATCATTTATTGAAAACAGTCCCAGATATAAGCATGTGTGCATGTAACTATACAAGGGCAACCTTGATGACTTGTTCTCAAAGTTACAGTAAAACAGGACCGTCTTGCTCGGATTGAAAATGTACAGCAGTGTCTACTTTCGAGGACAGGCACACATCCGTGGTAGTCAGTCCTTTGTGTAAAAACGTCCCCTACAAGCGTGTGGGAGAGTGTTGCATTGCAGAAGGAATTGGGATAGCCGTGCCTCGTCCTTGATGGTACAGTAAAACACTAGTCCCTGTTGACGTTCATGTTTGTATTTCTTCTCTTTTCGTCTTTCTTGGCTTGTCGGGTTCTAGACGGCAAAGGAAGCCAAGTTCAAGCAGGACACCATGGAGCATCACAGGGAACGTAAAAAACTCAGGCGATCGGCTGGACAGCTCGCGGGCAAATCGCGGGCGGGAAAGTTTCACAGATGACGATCTCAAAAGTGTTTCAGCTTGTTCTTAATTCTATAATTTTATAGAGTTTTTGCAAAGGGTCATGGACGGTTGTCGTCGAATTGGCCAAATTGATGAGTGCAACATCTCATACTCACAGCCGAACTTGTAGCTTGAGGCGATATTGGATGGGATCACTTTTGTTGCATGTATTGCTCACACACACAGATAATTTCATCCATTTGTGTCCTCTGAATGACCAAAATTGTCGAGATCTCTGTAAAGTGCCTATCAAGCTTGTGCCAACAGGTATATTTGTATCAAAGTGAGGTGAGCAACATACAGGAAAGCTGTTATAAGAATATGTGCAGAACAATCGGAACGATGACTGGCTTCAATCGAGAGAGTAAAATGCAGTGGAAAACTTACTAGGTTCCCTCTGAATCAATTCATGGTTGAACAAAGAGTTGGCTGGAGCAGTGGTTCAGCTTGGACCTCTGGAAAAAAACATATCTATCAGTGCCTAACTAGTCTCTGGGGGTGAGTCTGAATAGGCCTCTGTGAAGTGATGACATCACTGTTTGTTGCACTTTTCAAGGAGCTTTTGCGGCCCACGGTCCAGTAAGCACCATAGGAAGGCACACACATGAACAAAGTTTGGCATCTTCAATACAGATATCTATGACTCGGCTGTAATTGGAAAACATTAGCCTCTGTGAAAGCTATACTCGCTAGCAGCTTCAACCACTTCTCACAGATGCATATGCTACTGTAAGCCATAGCCAGTTGATGTAGAGACGGTCCACGACTTGCCAGTGTCTGTGTTCCTTGACACCAGCCAGAAACCCACAAACCCACGTGTGCCCGCGTCGGAGACTTTTTCAATGGGCAGAAGGCGTGTTGAAAAACAGACTTGGCCGAACAGAGCAAGCAAGAATCGTGAGCAAACTGTATATGACTTTCCACTCATGTGCCACGGCATGGCATAGCCCTCCTCGGGCCCATCGATCAATTTTCAGTTGGGAAAACACCGGTGGATTTTAGAGACCTTTCAGACTACGAAAAGTGTTCTTGGTTCTGTGCGATGGGGTATGCAAAGAAAGAGTGTACTGGTTATAGGTAAGCATGATTAGGTACTTGTGAAGCCACTTCTAGTCACAGGTGGATGCAAATAAACACAATTTAAATTACCCGAGTGTTGCACACAGGAGACTTTTTTTTAGGTGTCGATAGCTGTTTATGTATTGTGGGATGTAGTAATCGAGCTAGCTGCTAGCAAGATCCATGTTACAAAAAGTGGTGCACAGCTTAGGGGAGTTAATCCTCCAAGTCCACAGTCTCGACATTCCATTTGCCATCTGTAATTAAATCAGCACCAGATGTGAAAACATTCAAAGCAATGTTAGATAACGTCAAAGTAAAGGGGTGATGCATGAGGGACTGCAGGTCCACATCTGGGGCGATTTGTGCAGTATACTGATCAAAATCAAGATCAATATCATAGAGGGGCAGTGTGACAGTTTTTCTTTAATGAACTACCGCCTCCCTGACTGCTGAAAAGTCCCGGAAGCCCCACTGATCATAAGAGACAGATGTTATCACTTATGGAATTTGCGAATTGCAAGTAATTGCTGCACTGCTAATTTAATCATGTATACACTGCTGTCACGTTGCCCATTATTCTTATGGGCGGCCAAATGGCGAAGGAATATCATCCTTGGCTTGTGTCTATATTTACCTCAAAATTCATTATTTTGTTCATTGAGAGTTGCGTGAGCTTTCAGTACTTAGTGAATTGTTACACTGTTAATTTAAGAATGTATACACCAGTCCCATGTTTTGTTTTTGCACTGGTGGCCTGTCGTAGTTTTATCGCTTGTCTTGGCAAGACGTGACTGACGCATATTGTGATCTAGATGGTGACTTACTATCGTCGGCACATAATTGAGCCACTGTTCGGGTGGCCATACACAGCCCGCGTTTCCGTGATACTGTGTATTCTAACAACGCTCAGTCTGGCTTGGTAATTGCGCGTATCACGCTCTTCTTACAGTGTTAATCACACGAGAAATCAGGTGTAACGAAATACCCATGGTGTCATAACCTGTTTATCCTCCTCGAGCAGAAGCGCCCCCTCATCGGTTGAAAAGAGCCGCGTTGGTGGGTAGTGTTCATTTTGTTGGTAGGGATGCGACTGTGACTGCGTGCGTTTCCTCGTCGTTCGTGAGCCAGCAAAGTGCAGTTCCGACCAAAGGAGCTTCCGTTGTTAAAAAAAAAAATTAAAAAGTTGCGCCCTCTCTTGGTTCAACTCGAGGCCCATTGGTTAAGAAACTTGTACCGAGTCGAGCGAGCATGAAGGAATCTCATTCTACGTGCAAGCGACAGTTAAACCCCTAACCTCTTTCAGTGTTGAGAAACATTTTAACTGAAGGGTTGGAGATAAGTGGACTAAACTTGTTTGTGTATGAGGAGTTATATTTTCAGTGTTTCGTCTGCTGCTGTGGGACCAAGCGAAATGGGATTGGGCTCCTCAGCGCCGCCCAGACACCCCCCGGGTGCGCTCGGTGTAGGCTTTTTTAAGTTTCTGAGGTGTAGCAAGGGACTGGAACTTGGAAGGAAGTACAAAGATCTGGGGCAAGAGTGGTCGATGGACAGATAGTGAGGGAACGTATGAAACCTGTAAAAGTTGAGCTGGAAGGGTGGGGCTTGGATGGGGGGGGGACATGAGTCACAGATCAGCCCCAGCCAGCAAGGTATGTCTCGTCGAACAACGCAAACTTTGCTTCACTTTTTCCATAGCTGTGCCACAGAAGCCCCAATATCTAGGGCACCGGTGGCTGCCTTGCCCGCTGTGTCTGAAGTTACTCAGGAGAGGCTCTCGGTCCAGTCCCCGTTACGCTGAACACCAACTCCCGATACGGAGCTGCCCTGTCAGTGGTTGCAGGGTGAAGTCTTCTGAAGTAGCTCACTCACTGATGGGAATCCTTTGTCATATAAAGACCTTTGCAACCCCAAAGCTTATCCTTCGTTTCCATGCAGTCTGATTTTAATAATTCACCAAACACCTCAAGCTGCAAGGGTAAGTGTTGAGCGAGTATACAAAAGTCTAGAAAGTAAAGTTGCAGAGCATCATTTCTGACGACTTTCCCGAGAGTGCTGAGATGTGGACGATTTAGTGTTTTTTTTTATCAGCACAGTTTGTATTATGAATATAATGTTACGATCTTCCTGATTGATTCTTTCCAGTGTGTTTTCTTTTGACCATCGAGACATCAATTTCACGTGTTGTTCCAATGGCTTTTGCACCTTAAATACTTTGTAAAGCATTTTCAAAGTTTTCGCTGTTTTCGTCTGTGGCATTTTGTGTGCGTACAGAGGGGACCTCTGCAGCTCAGCTCGATTCGTTTTTTTCACCCTAAGAAGAGAGAGTGCCTAAAATCGGATGGCTCCTCCTTAGAATTACACCAACAGCGTATACAAACCAATGTCAAACTTTCACCAAGAAAACATCGCGACTTGAAACTTTAGTTCAGCAATTTCGGACAACCAACGGTGGTAAATTTCAACCATTTTCGAAGGATGACAAACAAACGTGTAAATACCACTTGTTGACAGAAGACAAACGAAAAACAAACAAAACATGTCCACAGGAAGTAAAAAAGTCACTAGGCCATTTCTTTTTGCATGAAGGTAAGTTGTTTGTTATTACTCTCCACATGAAGTTACTCTGTCCTGTTTAAAATCTCGATAGTTTAATTGCATATTTTAGTCGTTCATTTATGTTAAATACAATAGGATTTTAAAGGAACATGACACCCTAATAGCTTTCTCTAGTTTGTATACAATGGCGATTGACTTCTCAACAAAGTTCATCAGACCTATTCTAAAGTAATATGGCGGTCATTCTGTGTACTGCTTTATACTACATAACCGCAGCGGCTGAATTTTTTTTTTTTTTTAAGCGTGGCATTCTAAGCACTAAGAAGAAGATTTTGGGATGGGGCCCCACTAGCAAATAAGAGACGTCGAGTAGAGAACAGATCTGAGGAACTTCTGCTGCCTTGTCCACTAAAGGTGAGCCTACCCACTTCCAATCCTCCTGAAGTCCTACTTTGCGAAATCCATTTCGGGGGTGTTCCTGTCGATAAAGGGTAGTTTACAAATGCCAGTTGTCATGATCAATTCTCCCCCGGATCTGTGGACGGCCAAAAAAAGACAGGGGATAAGACAGTGGTGTAAATTTGTGCCAGAAATTTGGGGGTGGGATTTGGAAGGCGACTTGTCCGGCCGTGGAAATTTGAAAAGCATTTGAAATTTGATTTACACCCATGGAAAAAGAGAACGAGAAAGGAAGATGGGAATTAATTAATTGCTATGAAACTGTTGGCAATTTCCGATGTAACATCTCGGAAAGCCCCCAAATACAGTATTTCATTTAATTCGCAGGTGCATGTAATCATGAATAATGAATGAATAAAGTTCAGCCAAAAAACAGCATATAAAATTGCTAACTGCAAAGTTGACTGACTGCATTCAGACCTTTGAATGAGTTTACGGGATGGAGACACGTTGGAGTAAAAGCCCTACTCTTTACATTCTCCCCTTTCTTTGTCTTTATTTTTCATACCGCACTGCGAGGTGGAGGAAGGCCCGGGTGAAGGGAGTTGGGGATTCCGCCCTCGAGTTTTTGGCTGTCTCACGACAAACTTTGTCCAACTTGTAAGCGATCCGTGATCAGTACTCCCGCAAAATTTCAGTCCAATCGGGCGAAGGATGTGATATCACAGGTGCCCGGTATTTGCATGTAACATTGCTTCACACGAGAGAGGAACAGGAACCAAGACTTAGTTTGACGGCTGGCATAATGCTAACTATGGCTTTGGTACGATCGATAGAAATGATAAAACTACTGACGGGTTGCACTCACCATGGCCCGCTGAGCTTATAGGCATTGGACGGGGGACTTCTTGCCTTTGACCATTTTGCAGACGCAGGGGTTTCCATAGTCGTCGAAACAATCTGTCAAGGATGGAGATGTAACAGGCAATCGTGCGTTAGTTCAGAGGGAAAAAAATGTAATCACATCAGAGATGAAGAAAGAATTGGTGCTTTGCATGTACTGGTTGCTCCATTCTTATTTCAGTAAAACTGTATCAAAAATTCGGAGGTGATTTTTATTAAGGGGAATCGCACTTAAGAAGAGGTTCCTTTTGTTGTGCAAGAGGACCCCGCGAAACAGATCCAAACATGGCCAGAGTCACCACATCTTGGAAGATAATGGAAAAGCATGACAGCGTCGTCATTATTTTTGTTCGTTCAGATGAGGACTAAAACGCACTTCACGGTGAATGTGTTCGTTTTAGGTCACCACATTCGCATGCTATGAGCCTGTGCAGATCGGAGACTCTGTGCTATCTTTTTTAGCCGATGTAATCTACCATGAACTTGTCTGAACCAGTCCGGGACTCGCAAAATGGGCCTCGTTAGAATGTACCACCGAGCCTCAACTTCCAATGTGTCATTTCGGTAACATCGTGCGGATCTCTTTTGTAAGAGTTATGGTTTATGATAAAAACTGTTGAGTGTGTACTCGACGTTTCGACCAATGTGCTCTGGTTGTCCTCGGGATTGGAGTGCTGGACTTCTGTGGACCGCTGGAGTACACACTAACCGGTTCTTATCAGAACTCTACCTCTTTCAAAAGAGATCTGTCCACAGAGTGTTACCGCAAGCCCTCTTTATAGGTCTATCTCCGCCATGCAAAGCTGTAAGTCTTATTACTTTCGAATATGATGATCATTTCTTCGATAGAATATTCTTCCCCCGTGAAGTCTTCCAAATAATTTCGGTCAATCTTCATCCATTTCTAACTTGGGCGATATTTAATCGGGCCAAACCGAAGAAAACTGGATTTGTGTTTTTACTTACTGAAGTAGGCGCTCTTCCTGCCCTTCCTGCCCCTCTTTTCCATGAACTCGCGCAGGTCGTTCACGGCCCTCTTGACATACTCGTCATCCTCGTCGAAGTCCTCAAGGGCGAATGCTGCCACGACCAGGGCCAGGCACAACAGTAAGACGAAGGTCTTCATGGCTGTGAATCTATAGAGAGAGTCAAGCCCAAATCGCGACCGCTTTAGCCCGAAGCGAAAGTCTGAAGCTAAAGCATCCAATTATTGGCTGAATTGACAAGGCCTAAAAAGGTGACAGTGGGATGAAAGCGGTGCACAGTGTGATGGACAGCCTTCCTTGAGAGTCGACTTCTGGGCATTTGTCAGCAAAGCAGCCTAGACAAGATCGTAAGTTCAACGGTTCTTTTTCAGAGCCGTTTTCATTGCAGGTCATCTTTGCGAATACGGTACCTCACATAAAATCTGCGAATTACGCTGTTGTAGGCCTAATAGTGTCTTTCTGAGTTGTGACCAAGTATTTGCGCATTAACAATGCGCAATCCAATTTGCCTCAGACGGTCGATGCATTAATGGCTGAGGTGCTAAAATGAAGTTTAACTTAATCTTTTTCTACCCAAAGAATTGTACAGAAATGTACTTCAGAAGTAGTCGCCTGGTGGTATGCAGTAAGCATTGGGATACAGCGGTCATGTCAGTCTAGTAAGCAATAGGTGGCTTGACAGGAATTTCAACGATCACCACTGTGGCTGGAAAGTATCTAAGAAACTCAAACTTACCGGTGTCTGTTTGTGCTTGCTCGAAGAGAAAATGTGCTCGACTCTCGGCTACAGGTTCGGTGTGGTTAAAGTGCTCCTCGTTCCTCCTTTTTATAGGCATTTGGGCGGCCTTCTACAACCCTGACACCCTCCGTCTTTTCTTAATCAAACATCAGCCCGCCACCGTTCCAGAACGTGGTTGCTTCGCGTGGGATCCGGCTGCCGCTCGCCTGAGTGCCCGGGATATTGCTTTGGCACCGGTGCAGTCGTCACTCAAAACCCTCTGCACGACGGCAGCCGCCCGCGGATTTATCGCCACGGTTGAGAGTTGTCCCACCCGTCAATTTGTCCGTTTTGCGCGTCCAGTGATGGTTTTACCGGGCAGCTTGGTGGGTTTTTCTAATAACCCGGGCCTTTTTCGGATGACAGACCTCCGCCAAGCTTGTGTTACGATGACGTTAGCGTTAGCAATCCTGTCAAAATGTCAGAAAAGAACTCTGTTCGGTTGCTTTAAGATTGATTGGGCCAACTTTACAAACTCCTACTGTCATAACTGGTGTCCAGTGGTTGGCAGGGCGATTTGGGTTCAATAGTTTTAGAGGGGTCCATGTTCGGTTCGGTCAGTGCTTCTTCTTTGATCTCTGACCCTGAGCAATGGAGATTGGGTCAGGAACAGCTCTCAGGCTGGTCACCGTGCAAGACACACAACTGAGCTAAATCCCTTCAAAGACACGAAGCGTTTGAAGACCTCACCCTAATTGGCGATATTGTTATTCAGTCTGACTGAAAGTTTTAATAATGAACTGCAAATTAATCCTTGCTTCAAATCTAAATCGTGGACCGTATTCAGAGAAAGGGGAGGAGCGAAGTGGGGAGGGGGGCAAGGGACACGCTCTACATCGTAATGTAGTTATGCCCCAACTCTGTTTAATGGTTGCATGCATCCAGAGTATTTTAAAGTTAAGTTGTGTCATGATCAACTTCACAAAGGGTGCAGGGAATAAAATAATCATGATATATTTTACATCTGAATAGTGCATATTGCCCATTAAATCGTGCATAATATTCGCAGCTTTTAAAAACTAATAATGACGTGATGAGTAGGCCCTATTCACTCGTATAGACCAAAGGTCCGATTTCCGGTTTTCCCAGATTAGAATTTAAGTCCCCAAATACACCTATGAAATTACGTGCAACTATCAACCCTCAGTCTTGTTTGATGGAATCCTTACCTCTGAAATTTCAATAGGTACGTTCTGAGAACTGTCAGTGTCATGGTTTCCACTGTGATATAGCAAAACATCCGTTTTGATAACGACGGAAGTGAAAAGGCATATGACATAAATCTCTGACGGCTCAGGATGTTTAAGTGAATTCAGCTTTTCGTACGGCATTCCTGTTTATGTACGTTGGTCCAGATCTTTGCTGAGACGGGACAACAGCGTTTAAATTTCATGGGTGTTCTTTCTTTCGGCAAAAACACGATGAAAACCCGCGCTGCATCTTGGCTGCTGCTACCGGTGCGTGCTGCAATTCGGTCTGCACTGTCGCTTGAAGGCAAGTATTACGATTAATTCTGTTCGAAGAGATCAAACTTTGTCAGATATTTTTAAATACTCTGTCAGCCTTGTACCATTACATCTGCCACTATACCAGGCACGAAATGGGACAGAGGGGTATCCCCCAACAAGTCCAATCCCTATACACACTCCAGCCTATTGTTACTTAACACATCCCCCCTTAGATACCAGTATAAAAATGAAAACACAAAGGTGGTGGTGGTGGGGGGGGGTTCTGTCCGTCCCATAGTGTGCTTCATATGTTTTCCACGGCGTAAGTGTCAGAGTGGTGGTGGTGGTGGTGGTGGTGGGGTTCTGTCCGTCCCATAGTTTGCTTCATA